AGCAAGTTTGTTAGTAATGTTGAGGTGACATCACTAATACATGTTGTTGTACATCTTGATTTGGTCAAATTTGCCATCCTAAAACATTCCTCTAACAGATTGCCCATTATACTATGTAATCTGTGGCACAATGATGGACAGAATTCGTTCTCACCTTTCTTTGTGGGCTCAGGCATGTTGAGCCGTTCTCCGGCCGACCGGGCACCAGTTGAAGGGGTTCAGTGGTGAGTCTGGGCTGCCCAATGAGTGTGGCAGGGGGTGTCCTTTAGCCAAGGGGTGTTATGATGGAGAAAAGGAGGTGAGCAAAGCTGCACCAGAGAGATTGGAAGTCAGTGGAGATGAGGGCAACGCAGGAACGTGAAGGAGAACGTAACAGATCTGGGGTGATGAATAAATGGGGTTTATATAGCTCTCATCCTAGCCCCTCCTCACTCTGTTTGATAATAGAGCCCAAATACTCCTCCCTCCCCTTCTCTCCTAAAGTCCTGGGGATTAGATGTGGCTCGCTGTGCCCTGTCTCCTCACCAGCTGGAGTCAGACAGTGAGAGGGGCTTTGGATAACGTTGCATTGCAGAAAAAAAGAAGGTATTTCTTTTGACAACGTGGCATTGTTTTGAATATCTCACAAAGACTTCTGCAGGTTATTTTTATACCGAATGCTCCACCCTTCAATCAATAGATATCAACATTTGCAATGTGTTTATCTTTCAAAATTTATAAAAAATATAATATAATAATCAAATATATTGATAAAATGTAATCAAATATTAAAACCGTATAAATAAAAAATGTGTAAAATTTACAATATTTGATCATTCATAAAAATGTAATAATATAACAAATAATAAATATTATGTAATAATAATAGTAATAAATTGTAATAACACAAATATGTATAGAAATGTATACAATTTAAAATGTATATATTTCTATAATTTATAATAATATCATATAATATTATATAATAAAAGGTAATAAAATATAATGTATAAAATAAATGCATAAAATAAAATTAAAATTAAATAATAAAAATACAAAAATATACATTTTGATATGTTTTAATACTTTTTTAAATGTTATATTTTTTCATAAAAACATTTTAAATAATATACTACATATTTACCTTCTATTCTATTTACCTTACTACATATCTATCTATTTACGTGTAAATATATGTACACATGCAAACTGCGCTTTAATACTTGGTCTTTAATCCTGCCAATGAGGTGTTTGTAATGAATATATGACCCTGCCAGTGGGTGATGTGACATTGTAACCAATTTACTATAAACCTTGGCAAGGCCCATGTCAAGGGCATTCACTATAGGCTGAATGAAAGAGATATTAGTAGGTGATGTTGTCATCCAGGGGTTCCCAGTGTCTAAGCTCCACCCTTTCGCTAGAAGGCCTCTGGGTGATATTTAGGGCTTAGTGAGAAAAAAAGGAAACATTCACTTCACCTTTCAGCCAAGTGCCAGAGATCATTTTGATTTAATGTGGATGAGGGCCAGGGGCGGTGATCTGAACAACCAGGACTATAAATTCTGTTAAGATGCCTGAGCAATGCTTTTATACTCTATAATTAGAATCTCAGCCTGAACTCTGACATTTGACATAACTAGCATGGAAAGACAGTGGAACCGTGGGATTGTTGCCATTGTCAAAACTCTAATGATCCTGTTAACGCTGTAATCCTCATTATAAATCAGGCTCTGCGTCTTGCAGACGTAACAGCAATTTGCACAGTGAAGCCCCGAAGCTTTAATAGCTTTAGCAAGTAATTACATATACTTTATGATCGGTTTTTGTGTTTCCAGAAACAACATATATCTTATTAAGAAAGATTTTAAATCCAGCTGTTTGAAACTAACATAAAGGTCAGTGACATGATGCTAATTTTTGTCCAGATCTATTCATTTCATTTCATAAAATACATTACATTTCATAATCAGAAAAGCATAAAATTCATTCTCACTTTTTTTTTTGGAGTGCATAAAGTAAAAAATGTCAACTGTCCCAATATTGTAATGATGGGGGAAAAAAGTAAAAAAATAAATCTCTTAAAAAATAAGTCTCTTAAAATATCAAATAATTTTACCTTTTTATGACATGAGAAGGTTACTTTAAGTTGTAAAATGTAAGATGCGATACGACTTATAACAAAATGATGTTATAAATTATCAATGATATTTCTTAAAAATACATTTACCTTGAAAAATATTTATATTTTACAATAAAAATTAAAAGTTAAACATTCGTATTAAACATCTGTACATATATAGGTGTAATAAAAATATATTTTTACTTATTGGTTACAACACTTGACAGTTGACCCACTGTCTGTAAAAAGTTGAAATGTAGACATTATTATGGCAAAGATTGACAAAACAAAATGTCAGCTTCTCAGAGGGTCATATATGAATGACGATAAGTAATATTAGACGGTTCTGTAACATATTGGCCCGGTTTCGCAAACGGGGCTTAGCTTAAACCAGGACTAGGCCTTAGTTAAATTAAGATATTTAAGCAACTTTTACAAAAAATGCCTTAGAAGAAAACATTACAGGTGTGCATCTTGACACAGAACATAGACACTGACATATTTTAAGATATGTCAGAGCAAGATATTTTCAGCTGAGACAGCTCAAACATGCATTTTAGTCTAGGGCTAGTTTAAGCCTTGTCTGTGAAACCGGGGGATTATGTATTAAGCCAGGACTCTTCTTTAGTAATTTCATGCTGTTCTTGTTCTGAAAGACTCTGACAGGAATTAGTCAACAGTCATTCAATCTGTAGCCGTGCTGCATTTGACACTAAAGGAATCCATGTTTACAATGGGATTTTTTTCACAAAAGCATGTCACATCATAAGTGTGTGGTCCCATTACCAAAATTAATTTGAAATTGCTTTTTTAGTTGGCAGTGTGTGTGATGTAAGTAGGTTTTGACCTGTATGAGTTTCTTTCTTCTGTTGAACAAAAAAGAAGATATTTTGAAGAATGTTGGTAACCAAACAGTCGACGGTAGCCATTGACTCCCATTGTATGGATACTATGGAAGTTAATGGCTACCGTCAGTTGTTTGGCAGAAACTCATGGAACAACTTTAGGGTGAGTAAATTCATTTTCATTTTTCTGTGAACTATCCCTTCAAGCATGACTTTTGGCCTTTATTGGTTGTGGACCCTTCAACAAGGAGCCCATTTATAACCCTGTGTGTACAGCTCTAAAGGCAGGGTGCAGGGAAAGTATCATGTGGGCCTGCCACAAAGTACACACAAAACCATTTGGACCAGACTGGTGGTTAAATCCCCATGGGGATTCAGCTCTCACAGTCACCATAAAAAGCTCAGGTTAGAGAGTCAGAGTGGCACCTGCCTGCACTAATGCACACACACGGGAGCCTAAACAAAGAAGAACAGATATCCCCTCAGAATTTCAACATCTCATTAAGATTCTGTGCATTCAGTAGAATGGAGCTTCTCCCTGTGGAGCAGGCAGTGCTTTAGATGTAGTGATCTAGTATGGAATGCATGAATACTCGCTGCAGAAATAGATTCCACTCCTCCCTGTGAATAAAACTCTGTGGAACTATAAAGGGAGAGAAACAGTCTCTAAATCACACATGTGTGAGGAGTACCCTGTGGCCAGTCAGTCAGTCAGTCAGATGGACCAAACCAAGAATCTGTCTTTAAGCAGAGTGTTGTTGATTGCTCTGGGTCCAACTTCAGTATCCACAATGATGCCAGTGAAGAGATCGACCTCACCAGCTGCTTACAGTGGCTCCAAAAACCATTCAAACACTTAAGCCATGCTTAAAAATGTATGAATTTTATTGCAGCATGTAACAAAATCTCAAAACAAGTGGCATTTATTTACTCTAAAGATAGACAGCAGAAGCACATTTAGCATTTCACAAAAAGAGGATTGCTGGGTTTTAAATGCTAAAATAATAGATAATTCTCAAAATGTATGCTCAAAATTTTTGGCTTCATGCATTCACTAAAAATTAGCTAATCGCAAAAATGAATTAGAAAAGTGAAGCAATTTCTGAGAAAAGCACAACTTCTTTGCAGGTGCCACTTGGTTTGAGATTTTGCCATGCATTGACATTCATACATTTTTAACTGTGACCCAGGTGTCCAAATACTTTTTGTGAGTAAAACTAAAATTAACTATTAAAAATCATTTTCTTTAATAGAAATAGAGCTGAAAAATATAAATATTAGATTAAAAAAAAAACATTAAACAAAAATTACGCTAAAACAAGTTTAAGTTGAAGTACTAAAATTAATCAAACTAAAATAAATATAACTGAAAGCTAAATAGACTAATAAAAATGGCATAATTGCATAAAACTAAAACTTAAAATATAAAAATAAAAGCTATATATATAGAGAGAAGATGCTTAGAAATCATTTTTGCAGATTTGTGATGTTTAACATCAGCTTTTTGCCATTAAGTAAGTTACTGTCCAGAATTAACAATTAATAATCAATAAAGTTGCTGTACAGAAAGAACAAAAAAACAGAAGGAAAAAGTTGTAGTGAGCAACAGTCAACAAGTGACAATCAAAATAAAAGCCATGTAGCAGCTTTGCCACCTACTGGGAACAAATGAGCAGTGCAGGAAGGAGATATTTACTCAGTTTTTATTTGTTTTAGTTCTTTTCAAGTTCCAGCTGAAAAACTGATAAAGACACTTGAAAAGAAATGTAGAATGAAAAAGGTTAACTATATATGACAAACGTACACATTTTGTTTTATTTATAAAAATGACTATAAAAGACATACTTTTTTAAAATGCATCAAGATACGTAAAGAACAGCAAAAAGTAAATCATTTAGATAAGAGTCTGCTATACAAAACACCACAGTTCATCACCTTCATCGAGCAAGAAAAAATTGAAACTAGTTTTACCCTCCTCCTGTTACCAAGCCAGTTAAGATACCATGAGAGTAACAAATAATGACCCTAACACACTGGAGACAATCACTGAGCTCTCATTTCAATCCACATGCTGCTTTCTTTATACCATGTTGGCTCTGTAAAGTAGAGAGGGTAGCAACACTAAACTGATAAGTCAGCTTCTTTTTCACTTTAATGATCTCCCCCGAGTGGGCGTAATTTCGCAGGGCACGGGACATTTTCTGGTAGGTCATGGGCATTCGGTTGCCCTTCCTTTGGCCCCATAGCTCTGCCACGCGCTCCTTGTGCCTGGCAGAAAAGCAGAAGACACCTACTGAAGCCGACACCCAGGACACGCAGTGGGCCATGCCTGGGTCCTCCAGCATCTCAAACAGGAAGTGGAAAAGACGTAGCTTTTTCCCTGCAATCATAGAGACGGACTGCGGTCATTTATTTTATAAAGCGTTTATTTGTGTGCGTTTGTGCATGAAGGAGTGGGCAAAAGCCTATGGAAACTATTTCCCATAAAACTTGCTTGTATTATGATAGGCATAATTAAGATAAGCATCTCTAAAACATCAATGGTGTACAAGACCAGAGAAAATGAGGGAGAACTGAGATTCTATTTGGCAGTTATGGGGTAGGACAGGCCGCTCCCGTGCTGCAGTTCCTCTAGGTTATTCCTCACCTTCGAGATAGCATCAAAATAAACCACAAAAGCAGAACTGACCTTTCTCTGCAGGTGTAATGCTGGGCAATGATTCGGCACACTTTTCAGGTGTTGTATTCAGAGTTAAAGGTCTCTCTGGTCCGTTTGGGGCATTTAACACTTGCCCATTGGGTGCATTGTGAAGGGCCGATGACTGATCAATTATGGCATTGCTGTTGCAATTCATCCTGCAGTCCGTATACGAGTCAGATCCATTTGCTTTGGCCAGAGATCCCATGACCTATTCATTTGACAGAAGAACTTGGTTTTAAAATAGAAAAGATTGGGTGCAAAAATTACACAAGGTGTTGAACTGAATGGTCTACCTGCTGAGCTACAGGTGCAGCAGGCTGCAGCTGGGACTTTTCTTGTTCTAATGCATTGTTGAAATGTTCTGCAGCAGGTAGCTTCTCTCCAGATATGTCCACATCTTCACTGGTTGACATGACAGAGAGGTCCCTCACTTCCAATGCATTACAAAAAGAGTTAGTAGCAAGTACTGAGTACTGATTAATAATAATATACTAAAGGAATATACTTAAGTGTGAGATGAAAGTAATTTTTAGACACTTAATGCATTTACATTAAACTGTATTGTAATTTTAATTCATTTTAAATGCAATTAGCTGAACTTTAGAGTGATTTTTTTGACCCACTTAAGTACATCTTAATAATAATATACTAAAGGAATATACTTAAGTGTGAGCTGAAAGTAATTTTTAGACACAATGCATTTACATTAAACTGTATTGTAATTTTAATTCATTTTAAATGCAATTAGCTGAACTTTAGAGTGATTTTTTTACCCACTTAAGTACATCTTAATAATAATATACTAAAGGAATATACTTAAGTGTGAGCTGAAAGTAATTTTTAGACACAATGCATTTACATTAAACTGTATTGTAATTTTAATTCATTTTAAATGCAATTAGCTGAACTTTAGAGTGATTTTTTTACCCACTTAAGTACATCTTAATAATAATATACTAAAGGAATATACTTAAGTGTGAGCTGAAAGTAATTTTTAGACACTTAATGCATTTACATTAAACTGTATTGCAATTTCAATTAATTTTAAATGCACTGAAATTTAGAGTGATTTTTTGACCCACTTAAGTACATCTTTATATGTTAGTTTATAATAAGAATGTCATAATTACTTATATGGTTTCTTAAAAGTGTGCTGACAAATGCACTGACAAGCATTTATGATCAACTAAAATATAGTTTAATGTCATTTCTATTGAAACGTGTATGCCATGTATTTAAATATATTTGTAATTACTCATTTGTAATGAGGAAGTTGCAAGTTAATACATTTAAAATATATTAAATGTATTATATGTGACCCTGTCTGTGAAATCCAGGCTAAAGTCTCAAAATCTAATTATGAGATAACAAGCATCAAAGTTTGATTTCAACTATTAATTTCACTATGTGTCAGTCAATATTAAAGTTATAAAGTATATTTTCACAGAATGTTCTTTACATCTTTATGAAGGATGATTTTACGGAGAAAACAGTAAAACACAAAAAATTACTTTAGCTGAGTTTTCACAGGCATGGTCACATAGTAGCAAAAAAAAAAAAAAAGTATGTTATCAACACACCAAAATATGTGTATACTTTTATATTCTTTTAAGATTTGAACAAGTATAAACTACACTACAAGTGCACATTCAATACAGTGAAGCACACTTCTTTTTCACAAGGGTTGACTTTCATTGCATTGACAAAAAGAGTAGAAAAAAATCTTCAGAATGTGTTCTTTAGTGTTCCACAGAAGAAATAAAATTGTAGAGGTTTGAAAAGACATGACGGTGCATTGGGGGGGAAAATGGTGTAGGATTTACTTTTTTTCATTCATTATTTTTGAATGCTAGTAAATTACAGAGAATAATTTTAGAGAAATTGCTAGTAAATTACACAAATAATTACAAAAGGAACTGCAAGTAACACATTAGGAATTTAAAGTCACATTAGGAAGTAGAAAAAATAATTCAAAAAATATTTTTTTATGAGTAAATGATGACAGAATATTCTATCCTTTTAAGCTTCCTTCTTACTGTTCCATAGGGCTTTTCTTCGAGATTCCTGTCTGTAATGCTCCTCAAGAAATTCCAGAATCACCTCCAAATCGGTCTGATATTCCTGCGGACTGTTCTGGTAAGAAGAAATAACTATTTGTAACTCGTACACAACAGTGGCCACTAAAAAGTATTTGGTTTGCTCTAATATAATGACACTTTAAATTGTCCAAATATGTTATTGGGCCACTGTAAAATAAAAACTATACTAAACAAAACTATAAAACATATCATTTCTTACCATGTTACAGAGTGATCCTCACTGTAGGTATTGCTGTTTCAAGTGTCGTTGTATGATAATGAATAACCAATAATTTAAGAAAAGAATGATTTGTTAATATTAGTGTGTTTTACACACAAAACGCTGTCTCGTCGAAAAGGTGCAGACTCGTTTTTATCAATAGCAAGGGGCCGTGGGAGTGAACAGGCCTTTCTCAAATGATCTACGACCGAACATAAATAACCAGCCATTTTTTGACCCAAAACCACAGTTTCTGTAGGCCCAAACATACACACCCCGATCTCGGTCTAACACATCTCTAGCGTCCACCTTTATAGAACCAGTAACCACATCCTCTTCACTCTTAGAGATAACAACCACAGCCACCTAACAATGACATGCAGGCTCCACATAAAAAATATGAAAAGCAACACAGATAAGAGAAATGCAATGTTTAAAACTTCAATCATAAAGTTTGAAAGAGCACAGTTGTTATGAGACCAGTGTTGATTGTCCAGTATGAAAATTATACAGCAGCACTGCATTAGTGTTTGATTGCTATCTTACAAAGAGGAAGGTGATTTGAGATCGGTTTGTAATATGACACATAAAGCAGTCACAAACAATCTTCTCTCTGTGAAATTAGATAAGCTTGGTCCAATGCATTTGCAAAGAAATCAGCGCAAACGTTTATACAGCGGCTTCAAGTGCATGTGTTTTACAGTGGAGAGTTTAACAAACAAATTCATTGGGATTTTCAAGACAGGCAAACTTTATTTGAGCGATAAAACAAATGATCGTATGTAAACAAGTTGAAAAAAGTAGATATAAATATACAGACAGACAGACAGACAAACAGTAGATAAAGAGTGGTCCCAGAAAGTATGTGGATACTTTAAGACACTCGTGTACTGATGTATTGATGTTATTTAATTACATACAAAATATAAAACAATTTATTTCCTGAACCATTTCTTCTTTTATTTTAAAAATGTAAAAACTTTTTTGTGAAATGTTTTGCTTAAAAAAAAAAGTGCTCTCTCTGTCATGCCATATAAGAAATTATATTTGGTTTGATATTTTTTACATAATGCAAAGACAAAAAAAAGTGTCCAAATACTTTTTGGGGCCACTGTACATATACACTGCGGTTCAAAGGTTTGGGGTCCAATTTTTTTTATGAATTTTTGAATATTATTAAAAGAAGTCACTTATGCTCACCAAGATTGCATTTATTTGATCAAAAAAAAAAAATTTGTTTAATATTATAAAAAATATTATAAATATATTATATTTTCAAATGTAATTTATTCCTGCAACGTCAACAGGATTTTTCTGGATTCTGTGATACTTAAAAAAAAAAAGTATTTATTTGATATAGAATTTTTTTGTAACATTATAAATGTCTTTACTGTCACTTTTGATCAGTTTAATGCATCCTTGCTGATAAAAGTATACATTTCCTACAAAAAAATAAAATAAAATAAATAAATAAAAAAAATCTTACTGATTTTAAACTTTTGAACCGTATAACATCCTTTTTTACATGCATCCGCTCGTTTTATACATTTTTACTATGTCAAGGTTTATTTCAAAGAATCTCCCTTGTAAAAGACAGAATTCATGGAATGACAGGGATTGGCTTTTTTGCCAGTTCACTGAGCTGAAACAACTATTTTGGGGTCCTCATGCATTGTCAGTACAGTAGCAAGATCGTACTCACACTGGTGAGAGTATTGGCCGTACCAGTAATGACAGTCTGGTAGAGGAGAGCTGTAGTAGACATGCTCAGCAGAGCCTTGTGGATGAAGGGCCATGTCTCTGTATGAAGGGCCTGAGCTGTAGCCTGACAGTGAGCTCAATCGCTGCAGTATAGCTGGATTAAACTGATAGGTGAGCTTGCGACGCACTTTCACAATCTCACCCGTGCGGCTGTAGTTGCGGAGAGCGCGTGCCATTTTCTGGTAGGTCATGGTCTTGCGGTTGCCCTTGCGTTGACCCCAGCATTCAGCCAGTTTCTCTTTATTTTTTGAGATGAAATGGAAGATGCCGCTCCCTCGGTCCATCCACTGGATGGAGTCTCCCATGTTGTCGTCGTGAAGAGCCTCATGCAGATATTCATATAAGCGTAACTTCTTACGACCTAATGAGGAAGAGGAATACACAATGCATTCAGCACTTCTGTATTATGACGAGCTCAACTTTGTTGAACATTTGGAACCATGACAATGCTGTACAGTCAGTTTCAAAACATGCACGAATATGTCAATGTCTGCTTTTATTAATTAGGTTATTATTTCTGAAAACTTGCACTTAAGTGATTTTACTGTTATATGTACAGTTATTGCAATATGGAATTAGAGAGAAAAATCAGAAACATCCTTTTAACATCAGCACATACTTTCCCACATAATGAATTATTACATTTTCAAACACACAGAAAACTAATAATGTCGCACCTTTTCCATGGCGTTGTGGTAAATTTGAGTAAAACGCTGAAGGCTCAGCAGAACACAATGGCCCCAGAGCCACATCTGGCACAATGTGAGACCATGGCTGCAGATACAGAGAGAAGCTTTGCTAGTCCCAAAACATGAGTAAAAGTATTGCAATCTAACAGTTGAAACAATTCAAGTGACAAATTAAATGAGTTGTAAACCTACTGAGGATTCATTCCAGTCATACATCGCTCCTGGAGGCTCAAAATGAGGTGTGAACTGATAGTGTGAGATAGCATGTCTCACAGAGGACTGTTGACTTTCCAAATTCTCATAGTATTTATTTTCTGACAGAGACAATTAGAAGGGGAATTAATAATAATAATAATAATAATAATAATGCATAATATATTTATATACACATTTTTTTTACTACATTTTATTAATGTTATATTTTGGTATATACCTGTGTCATAATGCCGTATCTGAGAGTGACGCTGAATTACATCAATGGCATCCTGAAAATCTTGATTGATGTCATTTTCAAGAGACCCCTGTAAAAAAAAAAGAAAGAAAAAAAAGCATAATTCTAAATTGTACAAGTATTTGTGAAATAATGACTGTATTAGGATTCTGTCTTGTTTCTCATCAATTTCTTATAAATGCAGAATTTGCTTATTAAATATATGCCTGTGGTCTCTAATAAATAAATAATTAAATAAACCACATATAAACTAATAAATAATTTAAATATAATATAATATAATGTAATAATATATAATGCAATAATATATAATATAATATCATGTAAAATAATACAATACAATACAATACAATAGAAGTTTTTAAAACAGTGAATGGTTCATCAAGTTTCAAATAATCAAGCAAATAAATATTACATAAAACAATGTATAAGAAGACTGTGATACACGCTTGAGTCAAAAAAACTCACCATTCTGGCCTTGGATAATCTAACTCTGCATCTATGTAGAGCTCAACTGTGTTCAACTGGAAATGTCCTCTATGTCTCAGTGATTATATGTGGACAGATAAATTGTAGAAAGACTACTGTTTTACTGTCCAACTAAGCAGTGCGGCCTGTTATATACATGGGTCCATTTAAATGTGCCACGTCAACATAACATGGAGCAGTCAATGATACTCTACTTCTCTTTTTGGAAATGAAGACCAGGTAGGACTCATAGTCCCTCTATTCTATAATCTCCATATCTCCATCCATGAAAAAAAGATAGACAGCGCGGTGGGGAGGGGGGGGGTGAGAGAGAGAGAGAGATTAAGCACTAGTTTATCCAGGATTCCTTCTCCTTTGTGAAAACATTTGCATTTCTGGTCAGACGCTGTCAACGGCACTTTAGTTTATTGGTCCTGTAAAAATGTATCGAGAGGCACCAAACAACAACTGCTCTAATAATCACAGCAAGAGAAAAGCTGCAGATGGCTGGGAAATTGCATTTGAGGTGGGCCACTTCAAGAAAACAAGTGCGACAGAAAACAACATTTTTTATATGGATTTTCATGTTCTTTTCATGCCTATATACAAAAATAACACCAATTCAACACTGTTTTATTTATTTTAGCCAGATTCTGTAAGTGTGTATAAGAATTTGCAAAAAACTTTATTTTCTTACAAAGCAAGCGTAGAAGCAACCCACGTCATGTTAAAGATAATCATTTCTTTCTTCCATTTAGTGATGCGTAGATAAGCTAAACAGGCAAAGACATGAAAGATGAAAAACTTGAGTACAAACTTTGTTTATCTGTCAAGCTGAAGGCAAATCATCAAAATTCTGTTCCATTTTAATGCATTTTATTCCTTTTTGCCATGTATTGTTCTAAGTTAACAACAGCAGTTAATTCATTTCACCTTCTCATGACACAAGTTTTAAATATCAACTGACTGGCTCCCATAGTTCCCCTTTCAGGTGTGCAGAGAATGAAAGTAAGAGTTTTACTGATAAAAGAACCAGCTAAATTTTATGAGACCTCAGCACTTCAGTCGACTGAGATTACCGCTGTGTTCTGGCAAATAGTCAATATGCTGGAAATGTGCACTGTTGGGTGGAAATGTGTGGCCCCAAACTGTGTCAACAACTAATCTCTCTTACAATAGTTAATAAGTTATACTGGCAAAATGGCAAATGATTTCTGCTGTCATTTACATCATCATGCTCTTATATTTGCTGTGTCTGTACACTTAACATGAATTGAAGTTGTCAAGGTAAAAGTCTTTCATTTGATTATATAATGAATACCTCCAAATAGTGCCCCAAATCTCACTAAAACCAGATAGTCTCTTCAGTACAGTGTATGAACATGTGCATGTCCAAAATGAACATAATGTACTTGTCAATCACCAAATGTCAGTAACAATGGGCTTTAGTGGCTAACTTACATGGTTTAAGTCGAACGGTATTAATTATAGTCAGACTTCCATGAATTCCAATGAAAAATATATAAATCATCTACTAAAGAAAACAGCTGTCACAGCTTGCACATCTTTGAACAACTTTTACCATCAAAAGTTCTACTAATATGCATGGGGATATAGCATAATAAACCTATTTATGAAATCCACAAAACTTTTTTCTTCTTCTTTGATGAATAGAAATGTCAAAAGGACAACATTTCTTTGAAATAGAAATCTTTTGTAACTTTATAAATGTCTTTACTGTCACTTTTGACCAATTTAACGCACCCTTGCTGAATAAAAGTATTAATTTCTTTCAAATAAAATCAAATAAATCTTACTGACCCCAAACATATCAATGAAACTTCAAACACACACACACACA